CAGGAGAGCTTTCCCACAGGAGGATGCCCGGGGTGAGGCACTCACCCTGACTGGGGTGCATGCTCACTCTCCTGCCTTCTCCTCACCTACCTGCGGAGAGGGCTCGCCATTTGCCTGCAGGGAGTCTGCTGAGAGCCATCCCTGGTGTGGAGGGGGGGTCTCTTCCCTCCTTCAGAGATGTGCTTGAGGTGGGGCACCGGGGAGAGAAAACCTTTCAGTTTGCAAAAGCTCCGCTTTGATGCGTGCCTGATCTGAGGGAAGATGAAGTCTTCCGAGACAAACGCCAGAAGCAACGGTTGGCCAGAACCTCCCGCGGTGCGCAGATGGAAGTTCAGGAGCCTGTCCTTCGTAGAGCTTTGTTCTGCCCAGCCCTGCACCAAGGCTTCTCGGCTCGGCTTCCTTTCCTATGAAAAGGCTGTCGTGCCCTGTACCTCCTAGTGTAGTTGTTGAAACTGGGTTTCTCGGCCTCTTAGCAAAGCCGGGTTTACCCTTGCAGTTTTCTCTTCGGTCTGCCTAGGTTGTCCTCATAGGCATGTAAATGTCTCTTCAGATCTGGAGAGGGAAAAGCCACGCTGTGGGTGTAGTGGGTGAGCTGGGACAGGTCTGGCTGCCTTCAAAAACGCTTTCAAAGGCGTAGGTGCTGATGGCAAACACCTAGGAAGCGGCATTTGATGGGCTTCACAACTTCTACCCTTTCTCTTACAGATCCAGGTGTGGGACACAGCTGGCCAAGAACGCTTCCGGACAATAACCCAGTCTTATTACAGGAGTGCCCATGGGGCCATCCTTGCTTATGACCTTACTAGGAGGTCCACATTTGAATCCATTCCTCACTGGATTCACGAAATTGAAAAGTATGGTGCTGCAAACTTGGTCATGATGTTAATTGGTAGGAATTTGATCTTTAAATATTACATTATGTAGCTTTTTTAGTATGTATATAAAATCCCCCTCACTAAAGCTTCTATAAACTATGCATTAAAGAATAATGCTACTTTAACAGATCAGAAAGTGTATCAATTTGGCCTAAGACTGAAAAACAAGGGGAGTCACAGCCTGGTCCTGATGGGACCAAGCCTGTTGCAGACAGTGAAACTTCTTTACCTCTTTGTTTCCTGCTGGAATAATGCAGCAAGTCTGCTGCTCATCTAGCAAGCAGGGTCAGCCTCGCTGTAAGCCTGACCCTATACTCCTGATATACAGGAATTTAGCAGCCGAGTAACTAGAGACCAAGGGGAATGCACAGAGCAACAGAACTCCTCCTTCTCACCTTCCCTCTCTGTTCTTTTGATATGCATGCACCCTGTAACAGGACCCCTGATCAGGTAAGATGGTAGATGGGGACATGGCTGTTGCAGGGCACGAAGTAGTCTGCTTGCATTCCTCCTTCTCATGTATTCCACTAGCATCCTGGAAGCTTCACCTCTTGAGGAAAGGAACAGGTAGAAATGGATGAGGATGGAGCAGGTAGGAAGCAGTTTGGTGCTTTCCCCTTGTGTTTCAGGTTATTATTGCTCTTCCCTCCCCCCCAAGGGAGAAGGTACAAATGAGAGAACTGGTGTAGCAAAATGACAGAGCCTTTATTTACATTCCTGTGCCTGTTCCATGGCGGGTGCTGTGCTGAGGGCAAGGCAAGTGGCCACGGCAGCCCAAACTGGCTCCTAAGGAAAGGCAGGATTGAGCCCCACCATGCAGCAGGCATGGGGCCTTGTGTTCCTAGGAAATTACTTCTGCTGTGGTGGTTCTTCCTGTTGGTCCTCTGAAGAAAGCAGCAGCTGACCTGCCTGTAGGTGCAGTGTGTGGGATGAGTAAGGTGGGCGGGGGAAAAAAATCACCAGGCTTGGGTAGGTTTTTCTGCCTCTCCTCTTGAATCTGAAGAAAAAGACTGATGTGTGTGTGGTGGGGGCTGGTGGTGGTTGTTGCTGATTTGCTTTTTTTTAAGAAAAGTTCTGGGTTAGTGGGGTTTTTTTCCTTTTAGAAAACTGAAAGGTACTTAATGGGAGGGGAGTTGCTTATATATGCTTCCAGCTCGAGATTTGAATTTGATGGACTGTCTTGAAACTATAAATGCAGACTTCAGACAGGTACTGCATGTACCAGAACTGGTAATTCCACACGGCCTGCAACCCCTTAAATATGGAAGGGTATTTTAGTTGAGGTGTTTCATGGCTTCTGACAGATTTTGACTAAACTGCTTCAAGTTTAATCTCTATGTGCAGAAACTTCTTGAGCATACCGTCTAAGCATTAAGGTAGCTGGGGTGAATTGTTGTCTTTTTTGACATCATCTTAAAATGCCTGACTTGTATAATCGGATTTTGGCATGACCTGTTTAACAGTTGACCAGGTTCTTCCTGGGTTTTAGCATTTGGTTGGGTCTTTCTTTTTGGAGGGGATCTGCTTTAGACTAACAACATTCCAGGTCTTCTGAGCTGAGCATCCACAGTGAGATGTGTCAAAGTAGCTGGACAGTAGCATAACACAGGTGGCTTCCACTGAAGGTTGAGTGAGGAATAAACCTCTACACAACATCTGCTTTGGTTTACTGTGAGCAGTAACTACGGCTACAAGATTTCTTTTAATATTTAGCTTAAATGCTTCTTAGTGTTTGAAAACATTAAGGAGTAGGGAATAACAATTGCTTCCAAATAATGCGTAGAAGTAGTTAGATGAATGCAGGTTTTCAGGTTTTGTGTGGATTTTCGTTAAAAGGACTTACCTCATTTTAACTCATCATACGATTAGCTGCAATTTTGATCCACATTCTCTCTCTGGCTCTGATGTGCTCACATTTTGTTTTTTCCACTAACTCTTATTCCTAACATCAACTCAGTTTTATTAAACAGTATGTATTGCATTTAAAGATGAATTTTTGAGAGACTGAATGACTGAACTATCTATTTGCCTTCTCCTTAGGGAACAAATCAGATTCAGTGGAGAAGCGCCAAGTCCTGTTTGAAGATGCCTGCACACTGGCAGAGAAGCATGGGCTCTTAGCTGTGCTGGAGACATCAGCAAAGGAAGCTCAAAACATAGAAGAGGTGTTCATCTTAATGGCTAAGGAGCTAATAGCCCGAAATACCTTACAGCTTCATGGAGAGAACCCTCCAAACAGCATCTACCTTGATTCCAGGCCAGTGATTACCAGTCCGAGTGTGGAGAAGACCCAGTGCCTCTGTTGAAGGGAGATTTCAGGAAGGACTTGGAAGCTGTCATTCTTCTGAGGCGGTTTGATATCATTTTTTTCAGCTGATGGAAGTGTGCGATGTGGCTTCAAGCCACCTCTCTTGGTATCTCTACTGTGCGGTCTGTAAGTATCTTCAGAGAGAGTTGTTGCTGTCGGTAGCACAGGTTGCTTTGAACATGGCAGCTAACTTCTTTAACACGAACTTCTGAGCTGAGAGGACTTGGGAAGCTGCCAGCCCTTGCCTTAACCAAAGAGATCTTTAAAAATTATTGCCTTAAATTATATGCTTGAATGATTTTCTGGCTGTGTTGGAAGATAAATTTGCACCAGAGCTCTGCATTGATTTGACCTTTCCAAGCTGCGTTTATTCTAGTGCAAGCACTTTACTCTTTGCCAGTAGCTTTTAGAAGTCTGACACATGCTTGGACAGCACTAACCCATTGCAGCTTAAACTTGAAGGGTGGCCCTGATGTCAGGCACGTAGCTACCCGTCTCCGGGAACATGGTGTTTGTGAGAGTACGTGGTTTCACTGATCTGTACTGACTTTGCCAGAGAGACCTGGAGACACCCCTGGAGTTTTGCAGCAGGCAGAACTAGGGTCCCACTCGTCCCTCTGGGGTGGGACAAGTTGTCCTTTGTTTTCTTCAGTGGTCAGAATTGTTTCCAGCAGGGATCTCTGCCTTGCTCCATGGAGTAGGGAAGCTTCCATGTCACCAGCAATAGTCTAAACCAATGCTGGGGTGCAGGGACTGTTTTTTTTTCTTTCACAACTCCACCTCTGCAGTGATGAAACACGGTTGGGTTACATGCAAAGAAGCCCAGGGAAGGCTGGTGTGCAGCTAGCTTACCAGATGGCAGTCTATCCATGTTTCCCTGAGTTCTTGAAAAATAGGGAAAAGCATGTAGCAAGTATTTCTGGAAAATCTTGTCTGAGCAGCACAAAAAATAAACCAGAATGCATCACAGATTTACAGTCTTGCAAATGTTTCTAATATGAACACTTCCTCTGGCCACGTTCCTCGCCATCACGCACAAATGGCTGAATTCAGCAGTGTGTAAACTGAGGGAGAAGTGGTCAGTGCTACACTCTAAGCCCCTTGCTGTGGAGGAAAGCTTTGTTTTCTTCAGCCACCCTCTGCTTGATCTCTTAATTTTTAACTCTTGGCTTCGTTTGGATTTGGCACTAGCCTGGTAGTTGCCATTTCTGTTTGCGTATTTAAGCAACGGCACACACCATAACCTTTCAAAGCTGAACAAGTAGCAATCGGCTTCCAAACAACTTGTTTCTTCACCTCATCAGGAAAAGTCAAATGGGAGTTTAATACCTGTGTGTGTATAAATCCAAACTACTCCTGGTAGTAGTTTGTAACGTAGCAGCTTTAATTTCTTTAGTATCCACAATTAAACTGCTAGCAAACTCTGTCCTATTTCAGACGTACCACAGAGTATTTGCTACAAACACAGATCTTCCAGGAGACCTTAGAAGTGTTGTGTTCATCTCCAGCTACACTCTGTCATTAGCCACGAAGTAGAGGAAGGATCCTACCAGCAGAGTACTGACCTCTGTACGGTTCTCTGGGCTTATGGTGTTGGAGATACTACTGCATGTAGTTACTTTGCTCACGCTCAGTGTGGAGGCTTCTGCAGGCTGGTGCTCCCTTAACTGCCCAGTGCTGCCAGGTTACGGGGCTCCTGCCATTCTCCTCCCGCACACGCGGAGCTGCTTGCAGAGTAGGTCCGTCACTAGCAGAAAGCTGTGCAACACTGATCACGGCGAACAGGCTTGCGATGGTGCCTTGAGCAGCGCTGCTCCCTTCTGCTTAACAGCTGTAGCAGGCTCCTTGCCACTCTTCCAAGGAACTAGTCTTCAATACCTACCCGCTGTGCAGCCACGAGAGGAGCGTGACCACCGTGGGTTGGTTCTGTTTGGCATCCTCCGCAAGCCCTCCCGGGGGGTACGCCGAGTGGTTTCCACAGGGTCATGTTTGAAGCTGTCCTCGAGTGAACAAAGAGAGGCGGCAGCTGCTAATGAGAAGGTTCTTCAGAGTGTTTATTAGTAGCCAGTATTATTCGGGAGGCAATGCATCCAAAGTCCCTTTATTCTAGGATGTTGATCTAGACTGTAAGATAGCAGCCCCTAGATGAAAACACAAGCAGAGTGTCAACTTCCGTGGTTGTGCCTTTCCCCATCACCGAGCAGAGGGAAGCACGCGGCTGTGACCACGGAAGTGGCCTCAACTGCTGTGTAACCTTAACACTGATGTGTGTCTTCCCCCAGCATCGTGTGTGCTTCTCCACAGCATCATTAACGCACTGAGGAAAGTGTAGCTTAGTGCAGTGTTGTTTACAGTGCTGTTCCGAAAACTGCTGCTACACAGTTTTAGGAACTACGCATCCAGCTTGAAGATGAGCTCATTAATTCCTTCTGGGAAGAAGTACTTCAAACTTAGCTGTTGTGCATTGCTTCTGTTTGTGTCACACCCATCCCACCGGAGGCGGAAGCAGCACCTACCCACATAACCAGGGTCACACAAAAAAACATGGAAGTCTCTTAAAGTGGAGCAAACGTGGACCCCTCTGGAGGCTGACCAACTGCACCCCAGTGATGTGGAAGGCACATGGCAGTACCTACCTGGGCAAGCTTTGCTTCACCCATTAGGGACAGGCTCTTAACAAAAAGCTGAGGTTCTTATCTAATCACTCCAGTTAATGTTTAACTCGGGCTGGAAAGGAGACAAGAGAAAGCAGTTTTCAGGCCCTGAACAGAGATGGAGAGCTCTATCCTGGAGCCTTCTTTCAGAAAGGAGACACATGCCTGCGCTTTTGGACAGGAACTGAACCCCAGGCTTACCCCTGCCAGGTGGGTGCTCTAACCACAGTGCTGTTTAGAGATGCCCCTTCCCGCTGCCAACCAGCAGCATTCCGTATGTCTCAGATCCCAGACCACCACACAGCTCCAGGCAGCGCGTTTCATACTCACTGCACTGACTCCTGGAGCCGTTCTCAAGCACCTCTCAAGCAAGTGTGTTAAGGACTGGAACTGTATCAGTCCTTTGAGAGTAGCTCCAAGCAGGCCAAGAGCCCTTTTAATGTAAGAATACTCCAGCTTTTAATAGGAATGTGCTGTTTGAGAGGTAGGACTTTTTACAGGCTTTTAAACCACTTTCCCTAGTCCTGCTGTATTAAAAATCAACCTTAATCCAGTTGCCTGCACAGGCTCTTGGCTACACAGTCACATCCAGCTGTTGCCAAACAGGTGTTGACTCTGGCTTGAGAGCAAAGTGACAAAGCAACAGCAGCAAGTAGGGGCAGTTTAGCATATTTGCAATCCCACGCTCCCTTGCTACAGCTGTGTCCATGAGCACCACTGCACATTACAGTTTCACTGCCAAGTCTGCCCCGTTTTGTTTACCGGAAGCGGGGCTCACTGCAACCGCAGTTCATGCTGCTTCTCTAATGCCAGCATTACATTAAACTGACTTGGGAACAACCTGATCCCCACGGCACAGTCCCGTATCGTGTATCAGTTCTACAGGACTACACAAGGACGCCCTCTGGTCTTAAGCTGCAGCAGCATTAGTAATTCCATCTGTTTAAGTTCTGTTCCAAACATGAGACATCCCACACCTCATGGTGTCCTCCAGCCAGCAATCCGGTTTGTACCTGCTGCAGCAGGGAGGCGTAACTTCATTAGGTGAGCCAGGCATGCCCTCGGCAAGGTCACAGCACACCTTGGGCTGCAACCAGGGAAGAGCTGTGCTACCAGGATTTGAACTAAAGCAACAGAGGCTGCAAGAAGTGCTCTTTGGGCGTACGATCACATTCAGACCTGGCACAACGGGCAGCAGACACTCAGCCTACACCTACCACAAGATGGGGGGTTCCCTATCAACCCACAGGCATACATCCATGCCTGGGGAGTAAAGTCAAGGCACTTCAGTGAGAACGTGCATCTTCAGAAACAGATTCGTGTTCTGAAATCGAGATCTTGCTGGTGGAAGTTTATGGAGTCTTTATACCGTCCTTCACCATGACACTGCTCTCCTTGGCCTCCTCGCTTTCTGGGCCTTAAGGTATTTGCTTGAAGACAACGTATCACAAAGTTGTCACCCTCCCTGTTTTCACACAGAGCTTGCCTTAGTTCTACCAAATGTAGTCCAGTTAGAACACAGCAGCCTAGAACACCCCTTTCCCTGTGTCCAAGGCCCTGCTCTCGTAGTGGGGAGGGTGAGGTGGGGTGACACAGTAATCACAGTGCAACAGGAAGCTCCAAAAGAGGCCAACCACCAGTGAGGCCCAGACTGGAAGCGACGCGCAGCCACACGCCGTTCTTAGCTTACGGCACAAGAACCACAGCACGCTGCAAAGCGCGATGCAGCCGATCTGCCTGCGTCGCCTCGCAGCGAGACGGCACAGCCACCACCAAAGCAAGCCACGTCCCTGTGCGCGCTCAGCTTCCCCTGGACACGCACACAAGTCAGGTTTAGCAGCAGCTGCCACTGTGTGCCACACGTACACCCACACGACAATAAAGCACGCCACTTCCAACCCTGTGTGAAGGAAGGGCCATCCACACGCCCTGGCTGTACATCTGCCACCTTCCACCTTACCAGAACACATCCTTGGTGGAGTTACATTTGAAGGCAGCCTTCCAACGGGACATTAACAACTTGTGTTCGTTACACAGGCAAAGGAAATGCTAGTTCTAGTTCAAAGCCTTCCGTATTTTTTTGTTTCTCCCTACCTCAGTTTCAAGTGTCATTTGCACAAGTTACATTCAAATCCTTTTTTCCCCTCTGCCACTTGCCTTGGGGAAAAAAAAACCCAAACAAAACCCAAGATGGTTTTAGACTGTTCAGTTAAGACTTTTCTTAGTCATCTCTCTCAGCATCTTAGGATCACAGAACGGTTTGGGCTGGAAGGGCCCTGAAGGCCCATCTAGTTCCAACCCCCTGCCATGGGCAGGGACACCTTCCACTAGACCAGGTTGCTCCAAGCCTCATCCAGCCTGGCCTTGGACACTTCCAGGGGTGGGGCATCCACAGCTTCTCTGGGCAACCTGTCCCAGTGCCTCACCACCCTCTCCGGGAAGAACTTCTTCCTGACATCCAATCTAAACCTCCCCACTTTCAATTTAAACCCTTTACCCCTTGTCCTGTCACTGCAGGCCCTTGTAAAAAGTCCCCTCCCACACATCTGAGTACATTTGTAGCAGTTTATTTCCCACTTCATGCATTTCTGCAAAAGAATGCTTCTTTCTGCACACACACCAGCTCAGAGCAGCACACGGGTTCTCAGGAAGCAGCCTGTAGCCATGCCCAGACTTGCTGTCCGAACAGCACGCCGACAGGAAGCCATCAACAAAAAAAAGTGCTGCAGATGACTTTGCTCGGGACAAGCGACGTCCGTGTGGCAGTGCAGAACTTACTTGGGAGCAAGCAAGCCGCGTCTGTTCCCACTAACGGCCCCACGCACTCCTTCACCAGTGAAGCGTCCCCGCCGCCTGCTCGAAGTGTGTTCCTTGCACTACAGGCTCCTCGCTGGAAAGGTTATAACCAAGTTAAAGTTCCCAATCAGCACGATACGATTCTGCAGGAGTTAAGGAGCAACGTGTTTACAGAAATGCACCCCCCAGCCCCCCCAAAAACAACCCATCAGCTGAAACGCAGAACCTTCAAACTTAAAAGACCAGACAGGAGACTTACTTCCTTTTTTTGATTTTTTTTATTTGGGAAAAGTGCTTCTTACAAAAGGCAGCTGCAAAACAATACGTTATAGACCTCAGAACAATTTCTCATTCCATTTAAAAGTGAAAGGAGAGGCAGTCTAGGGGAAGAGAGCAGCAGGAGAACAGATCACGGGGCATCCACGAGTCAATAAAAACCAGCAATAAATGTAACGCAAGGTTAAAATTCCTGTGCCAGGGCTTTGGTGGCAAAGTAATTTCTGAATGCAAATTAGAGCCCAAAACTGCACGCCTGCCTTTGTAAGCGGTAACTCCCGTAAGCTGACCAGCTTTACCAGGCAACCTGCCCAACTCCGGTGCCGAGGCACGCGCGCCTCCAACCAGCCGAGAGGGGCAGCCGCTTCCCAGCCAAGCTCACGGCTTACGTGGTTACACCAAGTTCTAAAACTTACAGAGCAACGAAGCTAAAGGGGCCTCTCTAGCGTTCCTCCGACCCACCTCGGCCAGCCGGATTCCCGCTGCTGGACAACCCTAGCCAACGCACGAGGGAGAGCCGGTGTCCTAGGGAGTGCTGTCTGTTCAGCTAAGCGATAGCTCAAGATCATTGCCACAGACCGGGCTGAGACCACGGAACCAGTTTCATGTCCAGCTGGAAGCTACACTTCATGCACCAAGAGGGGATGAAAGGTGGGTTTGTTATTATTTCCTTTTTTTCTTTTTTTTTTTTTTTTAAACTTACACAGAGCCTCCCCATCCTCGAGGTCCAACTCTACATTTATCTGTATATACACATAGAGAGTTCTCCTTTCACAAAGACATCTTCCTTTCATGCTAAACACAGTAAAAACCCAGAACGTTCACACCTGGTTCTGGTTACACAGTAGTAATAGTAATGTGCAAGTAAACAAGAGACCAAAATCACAAATGAAGGTGTGTACATGAGGGGGCTGGAACGGAGCTGATGCCAGAACGAGAGTATTTGGATCTGGCCTGAAGTCAGAAATATTGGTACAAAGACAGAGAAAAGGCCATCAGCCAATTTACATCCCCACTGCATGGCCACTGCTCATTTTTGTATCTGGGCTCTTCAAAATGAGTGTGGAAGTCCTGTAAACACTTTAACCCTGGAACTGGGTGAACTCTGTTGGGTACACAGATGAAGCAACAAACCTAAGCTAACTGTTTGACAGTTAAATTTATTTTTACAAAAACTAACATTTTTAAGATTTATTTCTTGTTATTTTGTTTAAACAGAGGAAAAACAACACTCCTGGGGTGGGAGGGGTTGGGAGGAGACAGACCCTGGGTAAAAGTTATTACAACAGCACCTGGAATTGATCGGCCTGCCTAGGAGAAACACAGGCACTGCCACAACACCACAGGTAATAGCTACTGCCTGAAGCCAAGACAACAGTCCACACTCCACTGACAGGTGCTATAGATCCAAGTCATAATAATCTTCCAGCTCATCATGAAACAAGTCCCACTCATCCTCGGAATCCGTTAGCTCATCGTCACCTCCTGCTGCCAACAGCATCAGCAACATCTCACCAAGCTCAAAGGTAACCACCTCATCCTCGTCGGTCTCAAACGGATCCCCATTCTCTCGCTCCTCGATGAACTCCCAGAACCGATTTCTCCGCTGGGCCTGCAAGCGGAGCACAAGAATTCCCCCAGGTGACCAAGCGATACACCGCCAGAGTCTTCCCAGAGGCTGACACGGTTCAGCCCCCAGCACACTCCGACATGCAAGAAACCACGTTTTCTCACTCAGGGAGATCCTGAACCCAGCAGAATTTACACCTGCACACCCCTATCAGTGCTGCCCAACACTTCTACTTAGGTACACTGGCGTACTGTGGAAGTTTTTAAAAATTGACTCTTCCCATCTCGGCCTCCTGCAGTCACAGACTTCAGACCACCGCCTCCTTCAAATTCACTGTTACAGGGGTCTATCAGAAGTAAGCAGAGTCAACACTTCCCTGTCCTCTTCCCAAGGCAGCCGACTTAAGGCACAGCCCTCTCGCGCACTCTCTGTGTAGAAGGACAAAAACCAGCAGCACTGACCCGGTATCTGCTCGATGTTCCCACTTTGGGCCTCTGTGGCTCCTCTCGACGGCCATCAGGATATGCATGCTTGTAAAAACAGTTTCCTCCAAAAGGACAGCTCCCACGGCCTTCGTCAAAATACCTGCATGGCTTGTTGCTGGAAAGGAAAATACCGCAACCCTTACTCACAGCAGACCCCAACCAGGCTTCAGAATTGCATTTACCTGTAGTCCAAAAGGATCTCGGGCACCGTTGGGAGCTGAAGGTGTTTTGTCAGCTTAACACCTACACGCAGAAATAACGTATTACACAAGGTGTGCGGGTCGATGCATGCACGGGGACACCGATGGCTCGCAGCCCACAGGCTCGCGCTACCTTACGGCTACACCACCGGCGTTTTGACTACAGAAGGGAAAGGCTGAGGTCAAAGAACATAGGAATAGCTTTGCGACTGTGTGGCTGCATGCATCTGTGAGCGGAGAGGTAGGGATGCACTCCACGTGTGGTGGTGGAAACGAGGTGTGGGAGGGCTTTACATCAACACCCTTCTTCTCCAGGTGTGCCTTGCTCTCTGCTGTCTGACCTTGACAAAGGGCTGCAGTGCTCATACCTCATCGCCTCCTTGTATTTCTGAATGAGTTTCTGCTTCTCTTCCTTCTCCTCCACCCAGTACTCACTTGGAATGACAAAGTTAGATGTGATCCGACATTCTGGGCAGGACCTGGGGAATGAACAGACTGCGCTGCAAAATTCCACATCACAGGGCGCTCTCTCCCCTACTTAACAAGTCATGGCATACACCCATCTTTAACGATGCGCTCTGCCCGCACGCTTGCTGCACGGGCTTTTCAATCTAGGTTCTCTTACACATGAAGGCAATCTAAACGCTCTTGTTCAAGAGCGCAATGGCAGCTGGTCAGCTTGTCTGAGAAAAGCTGGAAAAAACACTTCACGCAGACTCCTTTTTCTTTTAGCATTAAATAAATTTATTTTTGTTTGATTTCTGGTTTTATTTGATTGGAACTTTGCTTTTTTTAAAAACAGCCTTTAAATGAAGAAACGTTTTGTCAACTGATTAATAACTAGGGTGGTTATGCATTAAGAAGCATACATTCTCAACTGGTTAACCTGTTTTCAGATTCCTGGCTAGGTGTCCAAGACGTAAACAGTAACCACTGGCACTGGACAACATGCTGCTAAATAAACGAAAGAGATTTTCTACCGTTAAGTGTGCTTCGCAAACCTAATCCACATTAACCAAATCAGCGCATAAATGTTATCCCTAACAATTACTTCACTTCCAAACTAAAGTTAGTACGCATTAAATGCAGTCTCTGTGCAATCCTGCATCTGAGTCTGTTGCAAGTTGTCACAAGTTACTAAGTTCTTCCACAGTAACAAAGCACAATCGAAATGGGAAATTGCCTCACTTTATAATCTTGCTCTCAAACTGTTTAGCACTCCTCCACTTGCGGATGCACTTGAGACAGTAAGTGTGGTTGCAGTTGGAGAGGATCCCAAAGCGGCGCTCACTAGGATTAGCTTTCTCATACACCACCTCCATGCATATCCCGCACACCATGTCTTTACTACGCTGGACGGCAAATGAAAGCTCCATGTCCTTCTCGTGAGCTTCAATGCACGACTGAAAAGGAGAGACAAAGAGAACAACTACAGAGACAACTGCTCACCTGGTGAACCTCAAGCAGCTTAAGCTCACTTCCACTCTGCTGCTTTGCATCATGAGTGGAGTATGGTTAAGCTGAAAAATCTCTACCCTCAAGAAAAAGTTTGCTCAGACAGTGGGGCACAATCAATTCAGAGGTCCAACTCCTTTCTCCAGACATTGCTTTTAAACATGAAAAAGGCAATCTAAAAGACCATCCAGTTTTACTAGGCAAAGAACAAAGCTTTAGTATCTTTTAAGCAGGCTGCTCTCCCAGCACAGATAAGGAAATCCAGCTGCTTGAGTATGGCCCTGACAGGAAACAGTCCAGTTTACAACAGGAATTTCATTCACTGCCTGACCTGCACGCACCTTCAAATGAAAGGGAATTGGCGACAAGTGACTGTGGGGAGCTAGGAAGCAATAACTTGAAGCTGTTAAACATCAGACAGTTGTTTGCTTACCTTTATGTGCTCGGATCTCTGCGCAGCATCAATTGGATGCAGGACCTGCAGTCCACACATATCACACACATCCCCATGGATATACACGCAGTTTTCTCCGTAACGACATTCTCCTACTGCAGCGTAGGGGCACAGCTCCTTCTTCATCTCCACGTCTGCTTGCTGCTTGTCGTATTCTTCCTCAATCACCATTTCCTGCAAGGGTGCTTCAGCACAGGAAGGGGCAGCTGGGAACAGAAGCAAGCACAGTGAGTGAGGAAACATTGTTTTAATGCAAAGTAATCTTTGGGTGAGCCTGCTTGAGTCATCCAAAGAGAATAACAAAAACAACCAAGGGCCATTTCAGTCCAAGTTTCCACACCCTCAACCTGAACTAACAGGTATTTTCCCTCTCGATAAAATGTGACCAATTTCTTCATCCTTCAACCAAGATGAGACTAAAGCTACCAGGGATCCAGTGGTCAGATTCAGGTCCGTTTACAGGCTATGCCCGCGCTAGAAAGATCTCAGCAGCTTCAGTACATTTTATGCAAACTCTGGGTCAGCAGCGTACGGTTACAAATCTCTCACTGCTTTAAGAATCAGTTTCATACCTGCTAAAGTTAACAGGCTTTTTCCCAGAAGTTACACAACTGAGGCAATAAGGGTGCATCCAGCGTAACGAAACGCTAGTATGGACACATCGCACCAGCAGTGCCTTATGTGCAGGTTAATTACCACGTTGTTATTCATCCTGAACATAAAAGGATTTTTATTTTTTTTTTTTATGTTGTTTACACAACATAAAAGCTGCGTCCACACCGCCTGAACAACAGAATTTCACTAGAGTCCCATGCAGCTCTATGCACAACATAAAAGCTGCGTCCACACCTCTCAACCTAGTTTGATTCTCAGTATTAGCCAGAAGCCCATCCTTAGACCAGATATCTGGTCTATCAGTCAGACACAGAAATGCAGCTTAAAGGAACTGAAGTTCAGGGCATTTTCACTGCATTCTAAGCTAGCCAGCAGTTTTGCATAATCCCAAGCACACTCCCCAACCTAATTCTGAATTGAACTGACATCTGTATCATTTCTCTTCCCCATTCACACAGCTGCTGCTTAACACTTCTCCCTGTTCCTTTCCAACACACGCTTGGCTGTGTCACCACAAGCCAAACAGCCTTTTGAGAGCATCATCTAAGCAGTCGGTTTGAAATGGAAGATACAATAAACACAGGAGGACAAAGCCGTACAATATTCAGAATAAACACCAGGAAGAACATCAACGGGACTTCATTTACATAACCAGTAGCTGTTGAAGAGTAAAGAGTCGTCTGTGCTGTAAGAAAGCGTAACTTTTGTAAGCCATTCAAGCACGAGATGTGCAGAAGTAAGCAAAAAAGTAGCAAAGGCACCCATGGATCAGCAAAAGGACAGGCTCCTTCTCAAGCGAATCAGGGGCTGCATGTTCAGTTTTCATCCCCGCAGAGCAAAGAGACACAATAAGGATATATCAGCCCATTAGCTGTAAGACAGAGAAAAAGCAGGTCCCTGAGAGCTCATTTCTGGGGGATGAAATATTGAAGATTAGCACAGGAAAATATCAGCTCTCTAAATAAGTCCAAGTCTGCTTCTTGAACCATCTCTGACTTTAGAGGTCACTCACACTGCTCTTGGATCAGTCTGTTTCCTGGAAACATACTTTTCAAAGCAAGTGAGTGACAGAATAAGAAGTCAAGTGCCAACTGCACATTTTTCATTTCCAACCACGAAAACCCTTCATTATTTTTTCTTCCCCTTGAATTCTAATGAACTGGTACCAAGAGAAGTAGCAAGTAACCATACACTAGGCTCCACCTATTCGTACTATGTTCAGCTCTCAGAATAGAATTTGTACTTCTTCACTGAAAATCCTACCCCTGCCCTGTCCGAAACCCCTCATCTCTCCACTTCCAAAAAAAGTGACAAAAATCCCAGCCACTGGTCACTCTCCCCTCCCTCGACTGCCGTTTTTGCCAGTGTTCTTCCTAGTTAGTGTTGTTTGATTTTTTACCTGGTTGATTCACATGACCTCTGACATCTCATCTGACCCCTACTGAGGGAATAGTTCAGTAGGTGACAGTAGAATGGGTAGAAGCCTACTAGGCAGGTGAATGCAGCTGAGTTTCAAAGGAATCAAGTGATACAGGACTTGTTTTAATTGGGCTGGCAAGATGATCTTGGCTTAAAGCAATCTGGTACCCATGGAAAACAGATACTTTGAGAAAAGGCGCATTTGAAGCTTCTCTTGATGGAAGAATTTTCCGGTCACCTGCACTCGTCTCAACGGTATCTTTTGTCAAAACTTTATTCTGTAAGGGGTTTATTCATTTAAAAAACCAATCAACCAAAAAAAACCCCACCACACCAACCCACACTTACTACTCGAGATTCTTTGAGAATAAAGGCTTTGAAGTCTTACCCCTCCAGAGACTGACTTAGCAACCCATTTATTTACTATGCTGGTCCACAGGAGAGAGCAGAGCTTCACATCTTGGCACAGAAAAAGTATAGAGCTGTTACTTAAAACACCAACAACCATTTAAGACAACCACCACAGTACAGCTACTAAATTCCAGCCCAGTCCACAATACCATCCTTGCACAAAAGAAGGACCATCAGTTCTTAGTGAGTAAACATCTAGTCAGCAGGATACGGACCTATGAATGTCAGTCTTTACTAACTCTGGGTGCTTTACAGTATGAGGGTGGGAGAGAGAAACACACTACAAGTGACATTAGTTCTCCAGCCCCAGTCTTCTGTGCTGTCCCAGCACTTCCCTCATCATGAGCTGTATTTCTACGGAATAAGTTAAATTAGTATTTCCACCAGAGCCAGACTCTTCTCAGACTTGTACAGGAGGCAAGCTGAGGCAGGGAAAAATCCAGTTTCACACTAGGGAAGAGATTTTCCTTATGAAAGAAGTCAAAGACTGCAAAGGTTGCCCAGAGGTTATGGTGTCTTGAACAGCTCTGAGGACAGAGATTCAACTAAAAGCCCCTGGCAACCTGACATAGCTGACCCTGCTCTGAGCAGGAAGTGAACTACATGAAATCTAGAGGTGCCTTCCAATCCAAATATTTCTACTTTGATTAAAAGATTAAAAAAGCATCCTTTGTCTCAATGAACACAGAAGCCAGACCTTTTATGACAGTGAAGTGACATGTTAAAAGGTAGAACACAGGTTTTCATTCCTTTGGACTACACCCAATTCACGGACATACCAAACAATCCCATAATCAAACTTCTCAACAACCCTAGCAAAATGTTAATGTTGCTTTAGCATTCCCTTCCTCTCCACCCTTCATCAAATCAGATCACAGCAGGCTCCAGCAGCACACTGTCTTTTCAGATCCAGGAGTCTGAGAAGTGCTGTGGAGACCAAGAAGTATAATCTGAGCACTGTACGACAACTTCCAACTCTTCTGCACACAAGGTGCTTCCATTTCAGATACAAACAATTATTTGAGTACTCATGGCCAAAAGCCTTTGGTTTTAGACAGCCAAATATTAGAGATCATGCTAAAGTAAACACATTCAGCTGACTTTTCACTTACATTTTAAGTCTTTGTGCTAACCTTCTGCAGGGAAAGCAGATGACAAGTATGCTACTTTAACAGCTCATCATACAGAACCAGGCTGTTTCAACCTCATTCACAACATCTGCTGTCACCATATTAGAAAGTCTCATCTCAAAAAGGTAAATAGAATAAATGATTTTCAGCCCCTGGTCTGAATTGCCATGGAATTAATGAAAGCAAGCATTAGACTTCAGCTCATTCCACAGGAATATGTACCTCCACTGGAAAATCTTCAAAATATTGAGGGGGAAAAAGAAAAAAACCCCACAACCAACACACACCACCCAAAAAACCCCAAAGGAAGCAGGTTATCTTTCCAGATTAGCGATACTAATTGCATCACCAGTATTTTCTTCTGCCATCGCATATGCAAACTTCGCTTCAAAGGAGATTCACCAAGTCATTCAGAGTCATAACAAGAGGAAGGCAGTTACGCAGAGCCTGTCTACGTATACGTGGTTTGAGAACATCAGGCCAGCAGTCAGCCCAACTATTTACATCAGAAAACTCAAGCATAACTTAAGGACAGATCACCTGAAGTGACACGCTGTACTCAACAAAACCAAAAGCACTGCAATAATGCACTACATCTCAACCCACGACAGAAATCTACTGTTACCCCACGATCAGCTTACCACGTCCACAGTACGGCTGCCCAGGGACAAACTCCACAGCATTCACCCAGTCTTCAGCACCAACTCCTGCTGCTGCCAGATCTGCAGTTTCATCTTCTATCTCAGCAAGAATTTCTTCAACTGTTTCAGGGAGTGATACGAAGTCTGAGGATACTGAGGGATACATTTCTGCATCTGGATTCACATCAGTCAAGTCTTCCTGTTTCAGTGGCTTGGTATGTTCGTATCTAAAAAGGTAAAACACATCATGTTAACTCTTCACAAAAAACAAATACCTCCATAAAGCAGCCCAAGGTATTAGAAATAAACTGATTAAGTTATATACACGCTATTTTGAGGAAGGACTTAGAGACTGCCTGGAAGAGAAAGGCACTGATGACCCTTCAGAGATGTGCTTCCTCCACTCGTACTATCTGTCAAGAAAACAAAAGGTACTCCCCTGATTTTGGAGGAAATGGAGCAGCACGCACAATTCTTACTTAACTTACATAGAGTGACCTTCAACTATGTCCAACTGGTCACGTACCGATGATGCAGTCTGGTATTACTGAATGAGATAGTTAGTTCATTCAGCTTTAAAGAGAGAAGACCTAAGGGCAAATCCTGCTGTCTTCAACTACCTTGTGAAAGCCACAGGAAAGATGCAGCCAGACTTCTCAGAGGTGCAGCAACAGGATGACACCCAGTAGACAAGTCCAAAACAGGAAGTTACAATTAGATATTAGGAAAAAAATTTTCACTGAGAGAGTAGTCAAACACTGGGTGCCCAGAGGCCATACAGTCTTCATTCCTGCAGACAGTCCAAACTTGACTGGACAACGACTTGGGCAACCTGACCTTAGCTGGCTCTGCCTTCAGCACGGCTCCAGAGATCCTCACCAACATAAGGGATTCTTTTCCTATATCTTACCATCTAGACTCATTCAAATTTTAAGTTGAATTTTAGTAGTTATTTTTAACTCCTCTTTCACCCTACCATGGAAAACAATGCTCAGAACACTTTGATCCTTTCCACCCACAAACAACAGGAAAGTTCTATTTCCCTCAAAAACCTGTCTACCAGCAACATGGGAAAATAAGTTACAAGCATACCCTGGAAGTCTTAGATATTTGCTGACTAATTTCAAGGATAAAAGGAGGGAATTCTTGGAGCTCATACAAACCTTGAGCAACTGTGATCCATTTACCTTATGTCAGACCGAAACCAACAGTTTAACAGTTTTTGCATACTAAAGATATGATCCCAACCCAACATCAGCTTTGCAATCCTAAGGAAGCTATGAAGCACAAAATTAAAAGTCAACCCTTCAGACCTCTACACCAGTGGTCTCCTAGGGTGTGCGCAAGACAATCCACTGAGGTGCAGAGGAAGATATTTGAACTTCTTATCAATTTTTTCTATTAAAAAAGAGAAATGAAGTTTAAATGCCATTTAACACACAGACTGACAGCCGCGTCCTCACTCTGTCGGTCTGTCAGAGGGTCCCGTGAATGGTATGCGCGAGGCGTCCTGAAGGAGGAGCGGGTGTTCCACCATGCAGACCGGCTGACAGCGCACCCTCACTTGTTGTTTCATTTTTGGCATGTTTCAACATACTGCAGTTTGTTTGCACCCAATTAAGTGGGTTGACAGATTACATTATCTTGCCTCACCTAAACTAACTCTGACAAAACCAAACAAGTGGCTTAAAAAGATTCCTGCGAATAAACCGAGGACTGAAGGCACTGCTGATAACACGAGCAGAAGCGAACCACAAGAAAACGTTACAACTGACCCTTCTACTCCCACTCTGAGCCCTTCATTACAAGGTAAAGGCAGTGCCAGCCTAATGAGGTCTGACAAGATCTGGGGGAGTGGGGGGAAATAAATGAATCAAGATTACCAAGACAACTATTTGAAATCTAGATGTACATACATTATTAACCATGAACCTTGCCTTCAGTATGTATTGTGCCTTGAGATATTAGCTAATGACACTATGAAGCCATCACAGATAGCAAGACATTTACAATCTAAACCTCCAGAACATACAACAGGCCTCTAACTTTTTCAGAGATGCCTCAAGTCACACAATACTCAATCCAGCACTTTACAAAACTTCACAATAAACTATTAGAAACCTCTTCTGAGGCTTCTTACGTAATAGTGAAAGACAAAGCCACATACCACTGCACCACTTGTTCTTCCTGCTGTGATAAAAATTACTGGAATAACGCATGGAAAACAATATAGTGACAAATTAAACCACATTCCTTGGCCAGCACTGTTGGGAAATGCATACAAAACACTGCTGAAAACTGGAAGAAACAAGTATTAGCACAAATGTCACAGCGTGGGAAGTTTGCTGTACAGTTGGATGAAGTACAGATGTTTCAAAAATGTCTCAGTTTTTTGTAACTCAGATATTTGCTAGATTGTTTCAATAATGAAACACACCAAGAACTACTTTTTGTGAGCCACTACAGAAAAGATGTACCAGAACAGATGTGTTCTCAACAGATGACTTGTTAACAAAGACAAAAGCATGTGCTGGAGAAGATGTATTCTCAACAATAAATGACTTCTTTAGTTAAATAAGTTTTCTAGAAAAGCTGTGCAAGAGCAATCACTGATGGAGCTATTGCTCTGACCAGAATAAAAAAGAACCCAGGGTAAAGTTACAGAGAGCACCACACCAGAAATTCATTGTGCGCATTGCTCACAGGCACAATACTGTAGCAAAAAAGGAGCCAGAAGAACACAAAGTGCTACAGAGTGTCATCAATATGGTTAATTTTACAAAAATAAGGCCTTTAAACATTGCAACACTTCTGTTATGAGATGGAGAGCAACCACTGAAACCTGCTGTATCACACAGAGGCTTATCCTGCCGTGAAGCGCTTACAAGTTGGTAAAGACGAGTTACACATTTTTCTTTCACAAAAAGACAAGTGTTCCAAATTTGCTGCTGTTTTCCATGATGACAAGTTGCTGCCTGTAGTATGTTACCTAGCAGGTATTTTCTAAAAAAGGTAACACGCTCAATCTGTCCCTTCAAGGTAAAAGTAATGTTTTAAGAACTAGTGACTGCTTTTTGAGAGAAGCTTGTGACACAGAGGAGGCATTTTGAAAGTGTCTGTTCAAAAATAGGCTGTTCCAAAACACTGCCACCATCATGCCATTTTGTTGCCAAAAATATCGCAAGTGTCAACTACAAAAACCACTTTGCTATCTTGTACACTTCACTGACAGCAAAAATGGCTTTGGACCGCTAATAAAATAAACAATGTTATAAATATTTCATCTTCATTACATCCTTTTTTGACTTCTGATCTCTGTGTATGTCTTGTGATGTATATATCATATACTAGTACAGTAGTAGATGTATATAATCTACAAATAACCATATAAATGGGAGGGATGCTCAAAGACGTTTCACAGATGGCGTGCACAATCGAAAGTTTGGAAACCACCGAATTACATGATCAAGAAAGCAACGTGGTCAGGTAGAAAGCTACAGAGAGGCTTGGTTTTGTTATCTTTCTCATACACAGTAACCCTGTATTAAACAGGAAAGTGAAGCTAACTGTGAGCAAAGTCATGACACAAATATTTAATCATTCGTTACAACTGCAAGGGGCAGGGCAGAAGGTTAAAACTCCTGATTAATTCTAATAAAGTGAACATAAGATGATGCAAACATCCTAAGCCTTTGTAAAGCTTTGCCACACCAGAAAAGCACCTGTTTCTTCATTTTTTTTTTACCTTTCTAATAATTTTAGGGGTATAGGTTAAGTCATACCAAGTTTTCATTGTGTAGGGCCATTTTGTACAGGCAACATTTTAGCACCGGCATGACTACACTCCAGTTACTTTTCCCAAACTGCAGTTCAAGTGTAGCAACTCTTAGCAACACATGATCAGGAAAAAAATTTCTTACCTGTTCAGGCTTTTATGATCCCTTAACAAATGTGATCCCTTAACAAATGTAACTCAGTTCCATCAGTTCAGCTGGTCTGAACGTAGTCTCAGATTTCAATTAATTCATCCACTCATGTTATTAATAAACAAAAAGAAAAACCACCACCCACACCCTGACAACTAGTACTTTTACAAAAAACGGTTCTCTTATAGCCTTGCCTTTGCTTATTTATCTGCACAGCAAAGCAAGCACTATAATATTTAGCAAGAGAAAGCAGTTTGCGAAAAGAAGCTATTTTTATAAATTTCTGATGTTGCAATGAAAGAGGGAAATGCTTTAAGATTTACTGCTTCTCTGCAAACTCTGTCCTAGGAGGCTCAGAGTGAAATCACTCCCCTGGCAGGATGGGCAACGGTGTTTCTTTACCTGCAATGATCTCCATAAGCACAGCATCCTCGCTGGTAATACCTGCACACCATGGCAGACTGGCTAGTGGAGAGGTCATGGGAGTAGCGACAGTTGTCTCCTTCCTTGCAAACTCCATGCATGAAATATCTGTAAAACAGAAGACAACCGTGAATTAAGGAGAAGCACTGAGGCTGTAAACAAAGTACGCACATGATGAGTTGATTCTATAAATCAAGGTGCACTACATTAGTAACACCACATTCATGGGACTGCATCCCAGTATAAATATGCAAAATAAGGAAGTCTGAGAAAAAGATGAAGCCTGCACTAATCTCAGTAAACTGCACTACACATTTAGTGACCTATGCTTACAAAAGACTGATAAAAACCTGCAGTGCAAAGCTTATGCTGCGCTACAACACAGAAAAGAAGCAGTCTTGGACAGAGCAGGTGGGGACAAAGTTGTACTTCACACCAACCACCACCTTAGAGAAGCCCACAACCAAAATCAGCCACACCCTATACAAGTTTCCTGAGGGCTTAAATCTATATTGAATTTGTAAGTAATTCAATCAGAAGTAATTTCCTCTCCAAGAATGCACAATTGTTTGTGACAGCGAATTACTTCTGACAGAACACACACATCAGTTTTTGCCACAGGAGCCAACTAATCAGTAGAAGCACGCTGCTCCGATACTGTGCTGCCTTGAAAGAACTGTACAGTTTCAAAGCTTTTGAGGACAGTTTACTGTGTTTTAGCATGTCAAGTAATACAAGTTCAATTGAGCATCCGCAAATTCAGCTATTCAAGAAAACTGAGCAGTTTGTTTAAAACTTTTACCTAGAAGGCACAAGCTTCTTTAAATTCAAGGCACTGCAACTATTCAGCATCATATGCTCGTATCAAAACTGCCACCGAAAATACAAGTTCAGGCACATCTTACCCAATCCACACAGAAGTATTAGCCAAGAAAAAAAAAGAAAAAGAAACCCAAAACCCCCCAAACCTACATAAAAACTGAATCCATCAACATGTTTACCAAAGCTTCAGTTTAGGAAGAGAAGCATTAGCCCTGTGATACCAAGTAAGCTGCAAACTCTGAACTGACTGGAAATATCAAGACCTGGTAAACAAGAAAATTTGTTAGGGTTTAGGTCTCTGACAAAACACCACTGAGGGAAGACCGAGAGCAGATTATAACCTTCCAAGCCCACCCTGCTGCTGAAAGAGGCAGTCCTGCCCTCCACCTCCTGTTGCACACTTCCCGCACTTTGCATTGGTACTACCACAGCAGCACAGCCATGTTCTCCAGGCAGCTGAGTGCACAGCCCCACAGCAGCACAGCCAGCCCAAGAGACAGAAGAACCATCTTTCAGGAGCCCAAACTAAGATGAGGACAGCTCTTCACAAAACAGCACATACAAGTCAATATTCCTTAACTTAAAAGGTTTGAAGTTGTTGAATTGCATGAACTTCTGCATAGCTAGTCAGTCTGCTACATTTTTTAAGAAGTCAGAGAAATCCAAGTGAACAATTCACCAGATGATGTAAGTGGAGCTGCATTTGTAATCCAGTACTAGGGATGTAGTAAAACCTGAGGCGAGCCTTACGAGGGCTCACAGCCCTCCATGCACAAAACCAGCAGTGTATTCAAGGTGCTAAGAACAAAAAACCCACCACAACCTGAAGTGGTTTTATAAACCACCAGCTGACATTTGCCATCAGGCTGCAATTCAAAGTCAAAACAATCTTCTGTGGTCCTCCATAAAAGTGGTGCGAAAGCAAGATGAGGCTCTGCAGGATATTCTCTCCCCAGAGGGATAAGTACCCCAGTTGGGTTGGCCAGGTGGCTGCGAAAACAGCCAAAACAAAACCCCTCACACTCCATAACCAGCACGCTCCACTATGAACAAAAAGAGAAAAAATACCCCACAAAAAACCCACCCCCACAACACCACACCCCACCCACAAACCCACCTCAAAGCAAAAAAAAGCAGCAACCCACAAACTTGTGGAACCAGGATGTAACTGGAATTTCCAGCTTGCTTTTATGAAACGCAAGTCACACCAATAGGGTAAAAAAGAATTCAGGTCGTTAAAGGTTTGTTCTTTACAACGGTTACCTCCACACTGACTGCTTCCCCCCTGTAGCGGGGCACGCAATTTCACAGCCACCTGCCGGCTTGGATCAGGGAAGGGCTGCAGATGTAACCTGAAATTCCTTCTGCTGCCCCCGGGGCTATTTTTAACCTAGATCAGATCACTGCTCAGCCCCGCTGCTACTGAAACCCAGTGCTAGGACACCACGGCGGCGGAAGAAAGTAAGAGAAAGGCACCGGCCTGAAGTGAGAACTTCTGTTCGAAAGCACCTGGTCAGCATCACTTATCCTCAACACGTAAGCCTCAAAATTGGGCTGTCCCACTGCTTGTCAGACAGGGCAAACAGAGCTCCGAGTCCTTCTCCTCCTTTCCCAGCTTATGTCAGAAAATCCTCTGCAAGTGCAGATTCTGTATGATTCTGAAAGTTGTCACAATTCATTACATGAAGGTGGTAGGCTATAAAGGGAAAAAAAAAACCAAACCTGAAACACTCCCAAGCCCAATTGAATTCACACATCACTTTAAAGGCCTGCAATCCTACGCAGCAAACTCGCCATCGTTTGAACAAGAAGCCTGGGGTGGGAGGACAGAAAAATGTATTTCTCTAAGGATTACACCAATTCTCTTCCCCCGCCAAGAGGTAAGATTTTCTTTTTTAATTTAAGGTCAAAAGAATTTAACATTTTATGTAAGAAATTGCAGTGTTTGGCTAAAACATGCTTTGTTCATCTCAAAAAATAAACAAGTATGTACTATTTCTGGTGACAGGTAACAAAACATCTGCTGGAGAGCACCTTTACACAACAGAGCATTCAATTTAACTGTAACTTTACACAACAGCAACACTAGCCTCTTGTTGCTGGTTAGAGGAAAAAGGAACTTTCAAACTGAGAAATACATGGGTTACCCGCCTCACTCAGTGAGGCACAGGACAACCAAAGTTTTCATTCTGTCAAGTACTCGGAGAGCACATATCATTTCATCTGAAAAAGTAAAACTGGATCAAGGCAAGTATGTAACTGGATCTTCTCCGAGTACCTATACTGCTGTCATCCAAACAGCACTTACCCTGGCAGTAGCGCTCCGTGTCTCTCTATTCAGATACACCCTCATCATTTGGTGAGGCTGCACGGGGACCCAGACCAGAGAACTCACTGGGGTCCAAACGCAGATCATCTCCCCAGTTTGTGACTGTACAAAACGTGAGTGATACCAACACACACAACAACCTCCCAGAAGGAATAGTTACCTGCACTGACATTTTATCCCCCCAAAAATGTTTCAACTCATGTCTAGTTACAGATGCCTTGATCAAAATAGCATATCCTAATTTTAATGGGGTACTTAAAAAAAGGTCACAGAAATCAGCCTTTGCACATCCAAAAGTCTCAAGTTATAGACAAGATCCAGGGGACGCTTTTTGGAAACACAGAGAAAACACTTGTCCAAGGCCCTAAAGCTAATCACATCTCCAACTCCCTGAAACTCAAACCACTGAAGAGAGATCAGATGTTACGTAATACAATTCCAGAATACTTAAAATCTTCAAGTTTATCCATGTTTCAACGAGTTTGTTATATTTTAGAACATCATGGAGCTCAATCTACTGAAGACTGTTTCCCAGTGCTAGCATATTACTTCTGTTACTTGCCATAAGCTAGAGAAATAGAATTTGTGATGCCTTTATCAAAAAAAACAGTGCAGTGTTAAACACACATAACCACAGCCTACAATCCTGAACACGTACCCGCTTCTTTCACAGACTTCCCTCTCGGTATCAAGTCTTTACCCCTGCAATCTCATTAATGGAATCAGTACTTCTCTCCATAGCTTTTGAAGCTTGCAATGGGTTTGCTTATTCAAGTGTGGTTTGTTTCTACTTCAAGCCCACTTAATTCTGCTTTCAGGTAAACCCATTCTGTTTACTGAACTACTGTTTCTGCTGAATTAGAATGCCACAGACGACAGATGTCAGAAATTGAGACGTTGCCATGACTGGCAGACAGGGAACCTCAGGATAATAGCCGACTGCATACATTAGCTTCTTTAGGTGCCACACAGAGACTGAGAATTCCCAAGGAAGAGGCCACGCACGCTGTTCTAGCACAGCACGTGGGTGGCTGATGAAATTCTACACAAGTTAGTAACCTTCAAAAAAAGGAAAAGGGGGGAAAAAAAAAGTAGATCTTAACAAGCATTTATCTCCTTGTCCTTCCTTCTCTCTAACCATCTTCAGCAAGAAGCTGCTGAGGGATCCAGAACACAGCAGCTAAGAAAGGGGCAACACATGCAGGATGTTAAGAGGTTCGAGCTCTGCACCTTATCACTTGCGTGGCACTGAATTAAGGAGGCATAATTAAGGAGGCATACTTTACCGATTCGGATTCTTCCCGTTAAAACACAGATGAATACCTGATCTAGGTTTTCAGAAAAAACAGCACAAACACATGGTCAACTCAAAATACACCAGTTAGTTGCTAAGGGGTTTGTTTAATAATTGAACATAAACAAACAAGTGAAATGTAACTGATTTATGTCAACTTGGTGACCTTTATTATTGCACGACAGGTAGAAAACACAAATATCTGGAGCTAACAGTGTCAAGCCTTTGGACAAAAATGTTGGCTATAACACCGCTCAATAAAACCACATACCTTTCTGAAACTGGGAGGACAGAGAAGCCTGTCATCGATAACAAAAAGATCAGAATATTGTAATATAAGTAGTTATGAATAACAGTTTTACTTTGCTGCAGTTTATTGCAGATTAAAATATTATAAAATACTACACAGCATAAAAGCTTGAAAACTGCTAAGCGATAGTATCAACATAAAACTATCGGTCATCATCTCTTAAGGAACATGATGAATTCTTATGATTTACCCTGCGACTTCTAAACTTTAGCTGCAAGAAAAGCTGAAGGGCAACATCCGCTAAACTAGATGTCTGGGAGAAATCAAAGTCCTTCATCTTAGTCATCAAGTCCCTCACTCTCAGATATCAACCATCCATCCCAAAGATATCACACTGGCATAATAAAACTCA